ATTTGAATACAGAGGGCCTAGTGTGAGTTTTTATTAAACGCACTCACTAGTGGGCGCGTCAAAAAATGACATTAAATGTATAACGGATTGTACAGCGCCCCTAGCGGGAAAATTTCAAAAACTAAAATTTTCATACAAACTCACACTCAGCCCACTGAACACATTCAAGTTCAAATATCGAATACACCAGGTATGTTAAAGGGTTGCATTGTCTGTTAAAGGTAGGTATGTTAAAGGGTTACAATGTTTAGCATTGTCTCTATCTATAATATAGTGTTGTCTCTTTCCAATATAGTGTTGTCTCTTTCAAATATAGTGTTGTCTCTTTCGAATATAGCGTTGTCTCTTTCAAATATAATGTTGTCTCTTTCATGCACGCTGCGCATGTGTCACGCGATGTCATGCTGGAAAGTTAACTTCGTATAGTAGCGCCTCGGCGTGGCACAGTCGATCGCCGCGCGTTGCTCGAAGAGGACGTCTCAAGATACCGATCAACCGCAACGATTGGTCCTGTGCTGCCTGCCAGATGCTTGCCGCGACCTTCACCAGATGCAGTCTTCAAGGTCCGGTCAAGCTTCCGCTTGCTGAATAATATTCTACTGAATATTTTTTGTTCGAACGACGAACGTTAAACCGTTCTTTTCAGAACGATAAAAGATATTATTTAAGCGAGACAGGAAGAAGCTCGCTGAATAATATTTTATTCTCTGTTTCTTTTTCGAGTCACACAAGACGAATGCTAAACCGTTCTTTTCAGAACGACAGAGAACGTAGTTCTCAATATTATTGGAGCGGAAAGATTCTTGCTGAATAATATTCTATTCTCTGTTTTTATTTCGACTAACACGTGAAGAATATTCAACATGTTCTCTCTCCTTTCATGACTGTTAAGCGTTAACAGAGAGATAAAATAATGTTATTCATTTTTATGTATAGATCGCTCAACAAAAGTTGAGGGGAACACGTGCTCAGGCTGATGCAATATTTGAATACAGAGGGCCTAGAGTGAGTTTATATTAAACGCGCTCACTAGTGGGCGCGTCAAAAAATGACATTAAATGTATAACGGATTGTGCAGCGCCCCTAGCGGGAAAATTTCAAAAACTAAAATTTTCATACAAACTCACACTCAGCCCACTGAACACATTCAAGTTCAAATATCGAATACACCAGGTATGTTAAAGGGTTACATTGTCTGTTAAAGGTTAGGTATGTTAAAGGGTTACAATGTTTAGCATTGTCTCTATCTATAATATAGTGTTGTCTCTTTCCAATATAGTGTTGTCTCTTTCCAATATCAAATATAGTGTTGTCTCTATCAAATATAGTGTTCTCTTTCGAATATAACGTTGTCTCTTTCAAATATAATGTTGTCTCTTTCATGCACGCTGCGCATGTGTCACGCGATGTCATGCTGGAAAGTTTAGACCGTATAGTAGCGCCTCGGCGTGGCACAGTCGATCGCCGCGCGTTGCTCGAAGAGGACGTCTCAAGATACCGATCGACCGCAACGATTGGTCCTGTGCTGCCTGCCAGATGCTTGCCGCGACCTTCACCAGATGCAGTCTTCAAGGTCCGGTCAAGCTTCCGCATGCTGAATAATATTCTACTGAATATTTTTTGTTCGAACGACGAACGTTAAACCGTTCTTTTCAGAACGATAAAGGATATTATTTAAGCGAGACTGGAAGAAGCTTGCTGAATAATTTTCTATAATCTCTGTTTCTATTTTGAGTCACACAAGACGAATACTAAACCGTTCTTTTCAGAACGATAGAGAACGTAGTTCTCAATATTATTCGAGCGGAAAGATTCTTGCTGAATAATATTCTATTCTCTGTTTCTATTTCGAGTAACACATGAAGAATATTTCACATGTTCTCTTCCTTTCATGACTGTAAAGCGTTACCAGAGAGATATAAAATAATGTTATTCATTTTTATGTATAGATCGCTCAACAAAAGTTGAGGGGAACACGTGCTCAGGCTGATGTAATATTTGAATACAGAACACATTCAAGTTCAAATATCGAATACACTAGGTATGTTAAAGGGTTACAACATGTTTTCAAGCGAGACAGAAAGCTTCTATTATGCTTAATATTAATTGCACAAATGGTTCAAGTTCATTATCTTGAAGGTCAATATTAATAGAAAAGATAGTCAGTCGTAATAATGTAAAAAGGACGGATATACTTTCAAATTAACTACATACGTGCAATATTTAACAGTCTCTCTAAATAGCGTTGTCTCTATCTATAATATAGTGTTGTCTTTTTCAAATATAGTGTTGTCTCTATCAAATATAGTGTTGTCTCTTTCAAATATAATGTTGTCTCTCTCAAATATTGTTGTCTCTTTCATGCACGCTGCGCATGTCTCACGCGATGTCATGTTGGAAAGTTTACTTCGTATAGTAGCGCCTCGGCGTGGCACAGTCGATCGCCGCGCGTTGCTCGAAGAGGACGTCTCAAGATACCGATTGACCGCAACGATTGGTCCTGTGCTGCCTGCCAGATGCTTGCCGCGACCTTCACCAGATGCAGTCTTCAAGGTCCGGTCAAGCTTCCGCTTGCTGAATAATATTCTACTGAATATTTTTTGTTCGAACGACGAACGTTAAACCGTTCTTTTCAGAACGATAAAAGATATTATATAAGCGAGACAGGAAAAAGCTCGCTGAATATTCTATTCTCTGTTTCTTTTTCGAGTCACAAAAGACGAATACTAAACCGTTCTTTTCAGAACGACAGCAAAACGTAGTTCTCAATATTATTCAAGCGAGACGGGAAGAAGCTCGCTGAATAATATTCTATTCTCTGTTTCTATTTTGAGTCACACAAGACGAATACTAAAACGTTCTTTTCAGAACGACAGAGAACGTAATTCTCAATATTATTCAAGGGAGACGGGAAGAAGCTCGCTGAATAATATTCTATTCTCTGTTTCTATTTCGGAACAGGACGTCTTCAGATACCGCTGGAGCTGTGCTGCCTGCCAGGTAATTCTCGCGATCTTAATCAGATCTTCGGTCCGCCGCGCGGGAGGCCCGCCTTCAAGGACCGGTCAAGCTGACGCTCGCTGAATGATATTCTACTGAATATTTCTTGTTCGAACGACGAACATTAAAACCGTTTTTTTTTTCAGAACGATAGAGGACATACTTCTCAATATTATTCAAGCGAGATGGGATATTTTCGTCTTGCTGAATAATATTCTATTCTCTGTTTCTTTTTCGAGTCACGCAAGACGAATAAGCAAACCATAGAATATTATTCATAATATTCTATTCTCTGTTTCTGTTTCGAGTACCACATGAAGAACATTCAACCTGTATAGGTCGCTCAGCGAAAATTGAGGCGAACACGTACTCAGACTAATGTAATATTTGAATACAGAAACATTCAAGTTCAAATATCGGACAACTAGGTCGGTCTATCTATTCAGTCGTAATAGTGTAAAAAGGACGGACATATTTTCAAACTACGTACAATATTTAGGCATTGTCTCTGTCTATGATATAGTGTTGTCTCTTTCGAATATAGTGTTGTTTCTTTCGAATATAGTGTTGTCTCTTTCAAATACAGTGTTGTCTCTTTCATGCACGCTGCGCATCTGTCACGCGATGTCATGCTGGAAAGTTTACATCGTATAGTAGCGCCTCGGTGTCGCACAGTCGATCGCCGCGTGTTGCACGAAGAAGACGTCTCAAAATACCGCTTGAACGCAACGATCGGTCCTGTGCTGCTTGCCAAGACCTGCGCCAGATCGTCGGGCCACCGAGTGGGAAGCCTGCCTACATTTACCAGTTTTCAAGGTCCGGTCAAGCTGCCGCTTGCTGAATAATATTCTACTGAATATTTCTTGTTCGAACGATGAACGTTAAACTGTTCTTTTCTTTCAGAACGATAAAGGATATTATTTAGGCGAGACAGGAAGAAGCTCCCTGAATAATATTCTATTCTCTGTTTCTATTTCGAGTCACACAAGACGAATACTAAACCGTTCTTTTCAGAACGACAGAGAACGTAATTCTCAATATTATTCAAGCGAGACGGGAAGAAGTTCGCTGAATAATATTCTATTCTCTGTTTCTATTTTGAGTCACACAAGACGAATACGCAACCTGTTTTTCTCAGAACGCCAGATATTATTATTATATATTAATATAATATTATTCAAGCGACACAGGAAGCTGAACGTACGCTGAAATTATTCAGCGTGAAATTGCCAATAGAATATTAATTCTATTGAATGTTTCTAGTTCGAATCATGTACGACGAACGTTAAACCGTTCTTCCCAGAAGGATAGAGGCCATCATGCAAAACGAATCGGAATTCTCAAACCTTAGTTTTGAGGAGGACTGATGTACTGTGTTAACTACCCATTTACTCTGCTCTCGCTTTCATCAAATGGTGATTCTTTACGATAGAACGATAAATGGGTAATTAACACTGTGGCCGATATTACACATATTTGTCCCTTATTCGCCTATACGAGTATGATATAACGAGTACAACACAAGTATTCTACCACTTCGGAATCATAACGTCTATCAAAATGCATGCAATTAAGAAGATTAGTTATTACAGAAATTACTGATACTCCCGTTAGCCCCTCGTACTAAGCTAAATATGCTTGTATCACGAGTGAGCTCACCACAATTTTGATTATAGTCGAGCGGCGGCGGGGACCGAGTCCGCGTTCCCCGGATCACGAGTCGGCCAGTCCGACCCCATCACCGTTCGGCTATCGTTGCTTCAAATTCTAAGGCAGACGGAGAAACGCAACAAAACTGCAACTGCTAGTTACTTTTGAGTTGCATCTAAGTTTCTGCCATAGCGTCCGTTGAGAGACCACACATGACGCGACCAGTTTGAAACTTTCAGTTTCAGTTTCATTCATCAGAATCATCACAAAGTTGCAGTTTCGTTGCAGTTGCGTTTCACCGTCTGTTCTGGGCCTAATTCTAAAATTTCTAAATCAATATTGGCGCATACCTCTTCTCCTCATCGCTGTCTATCTCGAGACTAATGTTGTCATCCTGGCTGTCTGCTGTACGCTCCCCCGGAACTTGTATGACTATGTTGGGGTCCCCGACGCGACGCATCGGCAGCACTATGCCTCGTTTTATCTTTGGAGGCTCAGCGTCTACTTTTGGTGGTGTCTGGAAACATTGAACGTTACTGGAGAGATGTCATTAACATCGCCAAAGTTACAACAGTAAAACTGACAAGTTGTCCGTTTGCATCTATTGCCCTATCATAAACGACGAGTCACGCTTTAAAAACAATTTAATATGTATGTGCGTTTTAGTACTCGCAAAAGAACGTAATCACCTTAATTTTTAAACATACGAGCTATTAATAGACTTCCTAATATCCTAACTTAATACCTGTTTTTGTTAATTAGAACTTTTATCATGCTTTAGCCACGGTAATAATATCATACAGTATTGTAACTTCATATAAACAGACGAAACGAGAACTTTCTTTCGAAATTCAAATCTCGGTATGCGCTCGGTATGCAAAAGTCGGGAGTGTCGCGAATGTGCCGAATGGACGTCGGTGGCCAAGTGTTAAAAATGACAAAACTGATTGAATTTGACTGACCGTCATTTACGGTCAAATTGGTCAAAAACTAGTCAAATTGTCATTTTCAGTCAGTTTGATTTGAAATGAAAATTATATTGTATTAAACCAGCTTTTGCCCTCGACTTCGCCCGCCCAAAATTAAAATAACAGGTAATTTACTAAATATAATAAGTTGTTTTTACTAAATTAAATCTACTAATCACAAAACAACACACATTTTTAACTTATTCCATTCGCAAAGTATTTTGTTATTCTAACTAAATAAAAAAATACAATCACAAAACTAGATAGAAATTCTAAATAGGCAGATGTAATTAAACTGGGTAATGTAGGTGGGCAGCCCTATCGCATGTTGTCATACTGTGACGTGACGCGCGACTGTTGACATTTATTTCGAAAATATGGCTGAGTTGGAATACTGTATAGATAGTATTACCGTGCTTTAGCCTAGTCGCAGACTACCGATTTGTTGGTCGATAGTTGCGCCCGGTTCTAATTTGTATGAAGAATCGGCCGATCTTAAATGGCTGTAATGTGCGCACTTTCATACATCTCTGTACTGATCAACAGCCCGACCCAACTATCGGCCAACTAAAAATCGGTGGTCTGCGCTTAGGCTAAATAGACTTCCTAAAATCCTAACTTATTACCTGTCTTTGTTAGTTAGATCTTTTATAATGGCTTTGATCTGCTTATCTCTCAAGCTAAGCCTTCAAGTAAATGAGTCACAACAAAAACATTCTTACAAAGTCACAAACAGATTAAAACATCGTAGCTGATATCAGTCAATACTTGGAAATATCACAAAGGGAGTGTTTACAACTTCAAGGTATAATTGCTTTTATGTCAATCATTATTTAATAAACGAAATTTTCATTACTCTGAATCTTTTAGCAATTAATCGTTAAAACCTTTCTAGGAAATCTTTAGCAATTTCAGAAACATTCTTAAGGAGATTTGTATCCAGTTTGTTTGAGAAAACGAAACAAATTGATTGAAATGATTAAATATCTTATTACTGACTTCTTAGAAATGTGTAATTATGTTAGGCATAAGCACGTTAATACATTTTCTGAGAACTTTTGCTTTGCTCTTGCTAGTTAGTTGTTTCTTGGAATACCTTTGTTATAGAACGGGCGCCGTCAATAAAGAGGCCTTTATTGAGCAGGGATAAGAATATAATGGAAAGCTCCATCGTTAATGAGTAGACAGAGGTTCCTTTGAGACATTTGATGTATCTCGTGTGGACGATATTACAAAATACATTGAAGTGACTGTGTGATCATAATACTCGCACACTCACTGCGGGCGCCCGTCACAAAGTCGCGACAGCAATATAATTACGCGCGAGCGATAAGGATGGGTAGCTTGGGGTCATTGGACAAAATTCTACGTGCTCACAGACCGGGCTTTACCTATTATTGATACATACTTTTGGCGTAATTTTTTGGCAGCCGTTGGATGAAAAAAGTAAAAGGTCGAGTGACGTTCCTCGGGGGAAGCTTATGTAGCATACGCAGCGGACTGTCACTGGTTAAAATGTAGAGATTTTTAGGATACTTCTGATTAAATACATATTTATCTCATAATTTACAACCGAATTTGTAGAAATAATATCAATTTGTAGTATTTACATGAAGCACATTATCATTTTTGCGACTTACTAGCAGTCCCGTAAATCCATTAACAGGATTATCTAGTTTGGTGATCCTGTATTTTGGGAACTTGAGTTTGGAATTACACATCTGAGGGCTTAGTGTGAGTTTACATCAAAATAGTGAGTAACCGCGTTAAAAAAATATATAAAAATTTTAGTTCTTGAAAGTTTCCGCTAGGGGCGCTGTACAATCCGACATACATTTAATGTCATTTTTTACGCGCTCACTAGTGAGCGTCTAAACTAACACTCGGCCCTCTGTAAGAATAGCTACTTACAGTCAACAGGCTTTTATGCGCATCAGCTACAGCGCGCATAAGCAAACTTGACGCGGGCGCGGACACGCGCGGCCTGGGTCGCACGCGTACAACGCTCGCGCAACGCACGCGGCTCTCAAGCACTGATACCCTGAAAGAGAGAGAGAGGTGAGAATGTGTCGATGGATTTTGGACTTAGTACCTTGGCAATAAGACTTGAAATTGATTGATTGATTGGGGAAGTGTGAAAGAAGTATAGGCAGGCCTGTTCATCTCCACGAGTTTACATCGAAAACAAAACACGCACGATGGCCCACCTACAGGATACTATTCGACAAGGCCTCACATACGAGCGAACATTGACTCACGCATGCGTATTCTTGTGTATGATGGAAGAAAATAAAGAAAATGGTGTACTAAATACTGTGCAGTATTTAACTGCCTAAATAATAATAAAAACACAGAATGTACTTTTTTAAGTTGCCTCAAGACACTGAGAGGTAAATAAGTAGTTAATATTATTCATGATAATTCATGCTAAATCATATATTTCCTCCGCCATTTTCCGCGGTTTGGCACCTCACGTCACATCATTTGACCGAAGTCAGCCCTATAGCTTCGGCGCAGTGCCGATCACTGACGTTTGTCAACAAAATGGTGCTTGACTCTTGAGACAGGCTAAATTACACCATATTGTTAATGACATTGAGCATACATTTTTTTAAATACCTTCGCGAAGTAAAACTTCTGTACGTAGTACTTATTATTATTCTGTGGTATAGGTTTCGCAGTGTGAGTACCGTGTTCGCCTCAACTCTTTTTGCGCGACCTTTTTTTTATGTGACAGGACGAAAACAGGCAGACGGATCACCTGATGGTAAGTGATTACCGTCGCCCATAGACACCCGTAGACCCAGAGGCGTTACAGATGCGTTGCCGGCCTTTAAGGACCTATACTTAAAATGTATTTAAGGTATTTTCAACCTTATGTCTCACATATAGAGTTCAAAATCAATTGACGAAAAAGTATGTGCAGTTTTTTTTTACCTTTTTGAAGACCGGTTTTTTTTGGACAAATAAACTTTTGAACTTCAACTTGAATTTAGCTTTTTATTACAGATTAATGTACAGCGCCCCAGTTAACTGCGCACCTCGCTGAAATGTGACGTCACGGCTGCCAGGTGAGCAGTTAACTTGACTGGGTTGTATTTATTAAATTAGCTGTGTTGCAAAGTAGTAAGTTGGGAGATTCAATGTCAAATTTACGTCATTGGGGTAGGTCGTGCTTTATGGCACTCCTTGGTACCGCTTACTTCTAACAGTAAACTGTCATTGGCTGAAATGATAAGGACATTAAACTTACTTAGAAGTGAGCCTCTTTATACTGGGCTCAGGCTTGTCCGAATCATCAGAGAAGTCGCCGCTTCTTTCAGGCGGATCACTGAGGCGACTCTTAGCAGACTTCGTTTTTGTCATGAATTCTGGCAACGGTTCGGGCGTGAATCTGGAAGTTGATTAAAAACATTAACAACGTTACTTTACATACCATGCCATAAGCTTGTATGCATGAGCCAGTACCAACATATAGTAGAAAGTGTTCTTTTGACTGGAGTTAGAAGTACTTAAGAATAGAAAGTAATGTTGAACTTATACATTTTTGTGGTATTTAATTTTTTAACTTAATAAACGCATAAGATGAAAAACTTCTTATCTCTTCAAGCCACGCAAATCGAAACACAATGGTTAATCAATTATTACGCGGTCATATACGACAGCTCTGGGATTGATGGATTATTTACTAGATTTAGTAAATAACTTGGTTACCTACCTTTCTTGGCTATCAGACTTTTGCTCAGTTCTTCTTTCCACTTCTGCTGTTCTCCTATGTTCTTCCCGAGCCCCAAGCCTTTCCCGAACTGGCCTTTTCGGTAGATTCAGCTCTATTTGAGGCAACGTCTCTATAGGTTTAGGAACCTCTACCGGCTTAGGCGGTATTTCTTTGGGTGGAGATGGGGATTTGCACTTTTCAAGGGGGGGCGTACTTACTGGCGCCTGTTGAGATATTTCCTGTAAAATTTAATTTGTAAGTGTTTATACTTGAAATAATGAAAATATTATGCGTTTTAGTATAGACATGTTGACACCACCAGTCAATTGAAGTACTTTTTAAAACTGTCAAAACGAAACTCTCCCATAGATTTTGTATGGCACTACAAGCAAGTGACGTCACTATTTTGTCAACTCAATTAAACTACTTTTTTCAATTACAATGCGACCAAAAATCGTAATTTACAGTTAATTTAAAATTAATTAAGTTTTTAAGACCAGAATGAAGGGTATTTTAAAAAAAGTTGTGGTTTCGAATTATTGGGGTATGGTGTCAAACTGTCTATTGCTATAGCTGTAGGGCATAAATGCGTCAGTACCTGAGGTATAGCAACGGCACGGGAGGGTGTTTTTTGTTACGTCAAATGTCAGCGAGACTTCAGATTTGTATGCTCTGTCTGACGAGACATAACGTTATGACGATAAATGTCAAAATCACCACTCCCGTGTCGCTCCCATAACTCAGGCACTGACTCATTTAAGCGCTACATTAATAGCAATATTAAGCTTCGCTTATCAGAAAAGCGTTAGATCTATAGTACGTTTATTTACCTGAAATACATCTTCAGCGAAATCATTCATCAACTCCTCAGCCTCCGTTCTTATATTTAAGAAATCTTCATCTTCTGACATAGAATCTAACTGCTCTGCCAACTTCTGCTTCAAGCCTTGAATTTTAGCTTCAATCTCATTGATTTCTTTAATTTGGTCCTCTTTTGCTGTTTCTTGTAAAACACTAGGTTTTGTAATTTTTTCTTGACTATCCATTGTGTTCTCGCTATTTAGTGAAACAACATCTGGATCAGGTTGAGAGGAAATAGTTGCAGGATCAATTATTGGAACAATAGGTCTTTTGTGTTCTTTAATAATGACTTTTTGTTCAACTTTTTCCAAAACTTTATCCTCTTTTAAAGACTCCATACTGATCCCATGACTCTTGAGAATTTGACCAGCAAAAACATCTGTTATAGATGGTTCCGATTCTTTTTCCATGTTCATTAACAGTGGTGGTATGTTAGGACGAATCATGTCATGGTGTTTACTCTTTTTCTTGCTTTTTTTTTCCTTTTTTTCTTCCTTTTTACGATGCAATTTTTCTTTTTCCTTCTTTTTAGCTTTCTTTAAGTCAGACTTTTTTGATTTATCTTTGTCTTTCTTGTCTTTAGACTTTCTGTCTTTAGAAGCTGATCTTTCCTTGCTCTTTTCCTGTTCTGCTGTTTCTGTGAATGAACAAATAATAAGTACAAAGAGCATAATTTTGTTATTAGTAGCACATTTTAAGGTACGGTAATTTAGACTTAAAAACTCACTTATTGGGGCAGTGACAGTAACTTCCTGCAACTTCTTCAGCACTTGGTGCAGCCAGTTGACAAATAGCTCCGTATTGTCTCCCAGGAACAGCTGTAAGTCATCCTCCATCTGTCCTCGGGTGCGCTTGTTGGCTACCATGACCATTACATAGTCTGGAAGCTCATCATCTGGAAGTGAAGATTATAATTCAAGGACTATGTCACCAAGTTACATAATCTGCCTAACTTTCCAAAGTATTAGATGCAACTTTATGCCTTATTATACTAGTAACTTATTTATTGCTTTTATTGATGGTACTCATTTTAATCAACAAAGTATAATTTGCCACGTACAACCAGGGTTCGAGGATATATATCAAGGGATATATATCAAGATATATATCGGATATATATCCGATATATATCAAGCCGGTTTTGATGATATATATCAACTTTTAAAATTTGTTACTGTATTTGTACTTTTTGACATAAGATTTTTATTTTTTTAGGTGATTTGGCCGTATTTCAAAGATATTTTATGTTTTTGCTTTATTTATCTGATTTTAAGTTTTAAAAACATTAAAAACATGTTTATGTAACACATATGCAATAGTATTCATGAATAATGCAATAAAATAATACTATGGCTTTCATACAAAATTGATATATATCAAAGTTGATATATATCGGATATATATCATAAATATCCGATATTTTGATATTTATAATAAATATCGGATATTTTCGAACCCTGCGTACAACAGATGATATCAAGACAAACATTAAAGCACTTAATGAAGGGTATCACACTACAAGATGCTACAACTTTTAGATTGCCCTTGTCTTTTAACAGGTTATTTACATGAGAATACTAACAAACTAATGAAAATTAACTCATGGGACAGGTGAACAGCAAACCATTTGTCTAAAGATTCTCTTTTGAGGTTAAAAAGATATACTTATCTGCTGAACTAACACACACCAAAACAATTTTTTTTCAAGTTTAGAAGATTAAGAATACACCATGGTATTAAAAATAAATACCACACAATTTTTCCATGAATCATATTGCCAATGTTGATACTGTTTTAATGTCATTAACTAGGATTTCCCAGCATTGAACGCTTTATTGAATTTAAAATAGATATCCATCGGCCATAATGTACACATATTCTCTGTCTTGTGTTGTTAACGCACAAGTCAAAAGTTTTGACAAAACATACACATCTCATCCATTGTCATTAAAAATTTTAGGTTTATGACAAAGTTATGGTAGAACTATGCTTTTTAGTAAAAATCATCAATAGCAGCTGTTACTTACCCACATAACAACCCAGTTCCGTCAGCTTGGCCTTGATGGCAGACTATAAAAAATAACACACCAATTATTAAGCAATTATTGTATAGTCGGTGACTAATGGCATTGATCCAAATAATAGCATAATCCAGGTATTTAATAACTTATGCAGTTATATAAAAAATAGCAGAACTTTAACCGAACATTAGAAGCTAATGAGTAAGAATTCAAGAACACTACTTTCACAGAATACAAATATAAATAAATCGAATTTAACTCCACTGCTTGAAGAATAAGTTGAATCAATACAAGTAACTATGCTTGATAGATCTAGATCATGGGTGTATGAAAGAATTCTCAGTAACCTAGCCAAATTTGTTAACAAAAGGAGATTGAATAATTATTATTTAGTATCAAAATAAACTTAATATACACAATTAAATAAATATTTAAATAGTCAGTGGTATTTACCCGCATCTTTTGTCCGATTTCGCTGCCGACTACATCCATTTTGATGTTTGTTTTTAACAGTTTTTAAGAATACACACTAACACTAAATATAGAAATAACTATTTTAAAATGACGTTATTGCGATTTCAGCCTGTAATTTGTACTATTTCGACAAAATTAACCCAAAAACCAAAACACTCGCGAATACATTTTCACAATTTGACTCAATTGACAGTAATGACAACAGTGGGGTTTTTTCGTTTGACGTTTTGCTTTTTTATTTACTTTTTTTCCTTCTCGGCCCAGTGGGTTTTGAGTCGTATCGATTATTTAATCGATTTATGATTCTACAATCCATAGACAATTAAAATTTATAAACAAAATCTAAGCTTGTGTTCTTTCTTGTGTTGGTCACCACAACTGTTTGCTCGCCACACTTGAAACTAAGCTTTAAGCCCTTGTAACATAGCTGCCTGCCTAAGATTCCTGCTACAAGCAAGTTGAAAAAAAATGAAACTTGGGAAAGGGAATGTGAAAGGGAAATTCCCCCTTTCTGTTTATCATTTATCTTCAATAATAACTTATCAAATTAATTTTAAGGTTGAACGAATAGTCAAAAAATTAAAGACTTGGCTGTATGGTGTAATGCCTTTGCCTTTCGTTATAAAAAAAAATTGAATCAAAAAACAAAAATTCCCGCCTTATTTTTTATGCCTATTCTATCTATAGTATGCCTCTTGCCAGTGTCGAGTTAAAACCCTTTCAAAATCAAAATCAAAAATATTTATTCAGTTTAGACCACAAGGTACCCTTATGGGGCACTTTACATGTCTCCTTATCTTTTGGGCTCTACCAGAAAAATAGAAAGAAAAAGTTTTGCCTCTGCAAACGGTTATAAAGTTAGGGAATTTATGGATTGGATTCAGGATGACCTGTGATTTTTACCGTAAAGTTGTAAGATCTCATGTTGTAAGTCAATATTATTACTGAGTGGAAGCGAACTACCTAACTAAGTAGGTACGTATTATTTAATGGAAATCTTTGTTTCTAGAAAAAAATACTAAGTACCTACCTAAATAATTATGTATCAACAATTTGGTATACAGGGTGTTTGGTAAATGGGTATATGAGCCGACACTAGCCCATGTTAACATGAGCATATAAATGGTATGGTGAAGTCAGTTATTTAATATCATCATTTTATTTTTTTAAATTTTCATACAAAATAATTTTTGTAAAATCAGATTTGTATGAAAATTAAAATAATTAAAATTAAGGTATCAAATTTCTGACTTCACCATACCATTTATATGCCCATGTTAACATGGGCTAGTGTCGGCTCATATACCCATTTACATAAAACCCTGTATAGGTAAGTTACACTTTTTTATTGTTTTATGTATAAAATTCTAACAATACTTTGGGCACGTGCCCAGGGCCCCGTGACCGAGGGGGCCCCCATCTGCTAATAAGACCTTTTTCCAGATGATAGATAAGGGCCAGGATTTTTATGTGGTTGCCGCGCCAGGCGAAAGTCAAGCTACAGAATAATATCAAGCGCACGCATCAGGATGTTGGGCAACCGATGATGAGAATGACAGAATTCACTCGTAACACTAATTTCATGTCCGGCCAAATGAAGCACAGAGTGCGGCTTATGTGTTTTAGGACCCGGAAATCCTATAAGGGCCCCCCTTAATCCTTAAATGCCCAGGGCCCCTAGTAGGTTAAAGACGGCCCTGGTCTCCACTAGAAGCAGCCTGCATCGAGTCGAGCGGCCGCTTCGACCCGTCTCGCTCGGCTCGAGGCTGCCTCTAGTGGAGACACGGCTTTAGGATAGCCGCAACTGGACACAACCACAACGAACCAATAATAAGTTTCCTGTGATAATAGGTATACCTAAGCAGTGTCAGACCAAAAAATGTAAAACGTATGCACAGCCTCACTTAGGTAGCTACTTATTTTATTTTATGTCTATGCCTACGGTAATGTGCTGTCGGCTGTAGAAGTCGTTGCTGTAGTGCATGCATATCCCCCACCCCGATAGACAGTAAATGTAAGTAACTACTTAATAAAAACAAAACAACATCAGAGTTCATTTGTTTATTTTTAACAATTACCATTGTCAACATTATAAAATCAGTAATAAATAGTGAGATTACTTACTTAATCTAATATCTACACGATATTACACGATTTCACAAACTTATTAATATTATGGCAAAGTGATTTAACAACTTTATTGTCTAAAATACTGCTCAGTTCATAAAAGTACCTACAAAATTGATGAAAACATTTGATTCAATATGGTATTTTAATTTTGGTAAATTAATTTTATTACTTATTATGCATTTCATAAGACTTGAAATAAAAACATTTTGGCACTGAAAACATTTTCAATCAGTAAAAAATTGCAATAACAATTTAAACATCATAGCTAATTAGAAATCTTTGGTCCATGATTGTTTCAATAATTTACATTTGGAATGTTATCACTTTTGTTTGAAATTACCAGCTAATTGATACACTTAATTAATTAAAAAGGAATGTTTTGTAATGTCAAAATAATAGTCTAACTACAATTTATTGTTTACTTTTAAAACAACCTCTTGGAAGACGCAAATAAGATTCACATTAACGACAGAAAATAATTTAAAAATAATTATATTACGACCTGTTGTATCTAAGTATTAATATTTACATTTTTTTAAAATACCTACCTTAATTAAGAATATTCGAGTCAAAGTGCGTTTTGACTTGTCGCTCATTATAGGACGGACTTTTTTAAGTTTGAGGTGGCATTAAATATACCTAGTTAAATAGGTACTACTCCTAAGTAAATATACTGTTGAAATACTATAAAGTTTTATTGTATAAAGATACTATCAAGATAAAATGCTCTCAGCATGCAGTCTATAACGCGTATAATAGAAAATTCTTTGGTTAGTCACAGTAATGAACGACAAGTCACTACTTATCGGTTTTGTCAACATTCCCAATGATACCACTGTCAACTTGAAACCGGATTCTTGGGCCAACACTTTGCTGGGACCCGGTCTTTCTCATGTTCTGCAATGACCCGGTTTTCAGCCTTACATTCTGTAATGACCCGCCAGGTTTCATGTTGCCATGTCTTCGGGGTGTTTCGTTTGACTCTTTCAGCGTCTTACTTCTAATAGAGATGTCAGTTGGCTCAGTTCTCAGCTCGTCTCCTGTCGCTCCGCTTACTGAGGGCCCTCTGCTCCCCGGAGTCCTGTCTACCTTCCCCCGAGGCCCGTAGGGAAGCCCCGAGGGTCTGCCCTGGATTCCCCCAGTGACACTTGGCTGAGCGCCGTTCGTGTGTTGCTGTAGCTGTACCCGTGACGCTCGTTCCATTTCTCTAAAAAGAATGGGGGACTAGTTAATTGGATTTAAAAACACGTTTCCATATATTTTATGAGAATGTAGGTTTGCTATGAAGGCGAATAGGTATACCTACTTTAGTGTAGTTGCTATGATAAAAGTCGCTAGTTTGAAATAAGAAGTAGGTACCTACATCAATAGGTCATGCAATTTAGGTCCTTTAAATAATTAATGCACAATTTATGAAGTTTGGTGCAGGAAAGGTGCGTCAATAATAATGTGGAATAGGTAAACATGCTGCGATTGACGTAAGTATGCATGGTGACAGGCAGTAGGTAGGTATAGGTACATTCTATCAAGCAATTTATCATTAAAGTAGTCAGCTAGGTAATTGATTTGAAAAGGAAATGTTTTACAAGTCCCATAGTAACGGCCTGTAGGTTTATTTTGCAGAACAGATTGGTGATTTCATGCAAGAATTTTCCAGTCAAATCACGAAAATCTGAAGTGACACGAATTTCTCAATAATCGAATCCACCACCAAAGCTCCACCAGCGTAACAGCACCAATCGCAGCATATGCATCGCAGAGTATCGTCATGTGATACCTTCACGGGCGGACGTAGGACGCGATGGCAGAGGTTCGCTCTGTCTTCTTCACAGCCTGGCATGCGGGCGAGGAGGGATACGCACCGCTGGTGAGCCCAGATAGCCGCGCTAGGGGGCAGCACAGGGCGGCTGCGTACGCGGCGCGGTACTGCGCGTTCATTATCACGTAGATGATTGGGTTCACGCATGCGCTCGCGTACAGGAGCAGGTAGCCCGCGATGTGGAATACTGGAAGAAGATTATAATGTTGTTATAGAATTGGAGTGGCGACCACGAGCCGGAAGACGTAGCGTGGGCAGGCCTCCCACTAGGTGGACCGACGATTTGGTGAAGGTCGCGGGAGGCGCCTGGATGCGAGCGGCGCAGGACCGGTCTTTGTGGAAATCCTTGGGGGAGGCATTTGTCCAGCAGTGGACGTCTTTCGGCTGAAACGAACGAAGAATTGGCATTCTTCTGCACGCTTGAGTCCTTGAGACCCTTACCAAACACTCGTGAAATAAGTACTTATGGATCTAAAATAATTTTATTAGCCTTTTAGTTCTAAAATAATAAAGAAATCTAGAATTCTGGCATACACAACATACATTCCGTTAATTGTTACTAAGTGATTGCGTGTTTTGAACCGCAAACCAGAGGCCTTTTTCCTCCTAGCCCTAAATTGGATTGACGTCTTCAAGATAGCCCTAATAGGATCTATAGTTTAGGTACACGGAAAACTTAATTTGAACTGCCTATAGTTCAGCACTCACCAGGATAATGCACATGACTGTCAGCGACCTTCGCGATAGTTATGGGCAGGTAGCATACAAGGAAAGACAGGAAGATGGCAAGCACCATCTTGGTGATCCTCCATTCGTTGCGCCTGGCCTTCGTCTCTCTGTTGTCCTTGACCGTGGACCGCTTGTCGTTGCTGTTGTTGAGGGAGCCAGGGCTGGCGTGCTGAGACCTTTGGTGCTCGCGCATTCTTTGTTCGGAGCTGAAAATTGATAAAGTTGAATTTAAGAAAAAGGTTAATTTGATCGATATATGGGATACCTACTTAAGTAAATAGAGGTATGTTAAAGTTTGAAGTTATCCCATAAATGGTTGTTGGAATTTTATTAACACAGCTGACTGACCATACTGTAATTACACAAAATAATTTTATACCTGGGAATTGGGAATCAAACCCCTGGGTTTGGTCCTCCTGACCCGAGAGTTAAAAAGTCAGGAGAGTTTCTTCTGGGTCACTGTCTGATAGTTTGAAGTATTAGTGAAAGTCAAAAATTCATCAATTACCTACCTGTGAACAACCCAGAA